ATGCAAAAGTGGTTAGTACTCCTCTTGCTAAACACTTCAAATTGAGTATTAGTCAGAGTCCATCTACTGATGAAGGGAAAAAGGAGATGTCTCGTATTCCTTACTCTTCTGCCGTTGGTAGCTTGATGTATGCTATGGTTTGCACTAGACCAGATATTGCACATGCCGTTGGCACTGTTAGCAGATTCATTTCCAATCCTGGAAAAGAACATTGGGATGCAGTAAAATGGATATTAAGGTATTTAAAAGGTACTGCAGATTTGAAGCTGTGCTTTGGCAATGGCAAGCCTGAACTTGTTTGTTACATAGACTCTGATTTAGGAGGCAATCTTGATAATTCAAGATCCACTTCCTGTTATTTGATCACTTTTGCAGGGGGAGTTGTTTCTTGGCAATCTAGACTACAGAAGTGCATAGCTCTATCCACCACAGAAGCCGAATATATTGCTGTCACAGAAGGTGCCAAAGAACTATTATGGATGAAGAAGTTTATTAATGATCTTGGCTTTGAGCAGCCAAGGTACATCTTATTTTGTGATAATCAGAGTGCTATCTGTCTCACCAAGCACTCCACTTTTCATTCTAAGACCAAACATATAAATAGAAAGTATCATTGGATAAGAATGATCGTGGAAGAGAAATTATTTGAGGTTGAGAAGATACACACTGATGAAAATCCTTCGGATATGCTGACAAAGGCGGTGGCTGCTGATAAACATGAATTTTGCAGAAAATTGGCAGGCATGAAGCCTGTCATAGTTCCTCTACTTGAAGACACATTTGGCCCCTTGGCTGGAGGGGGAGTTTGTTGGGCTCATGCCCATGTTGTCCAGCCAAAGGCCCAATGGCCTAATCCTATTCTCTTTTGGTTTCCATTCCTATTCGGAATTGGATTCCGTATTTATTCCTATTTTGAGTGGGTTTTGGCTTTAAGAGAAAGCACCACTCATGATCTATAAATAGGACAACCTTGGAGAATTATTCTATGCTCATTGATACAAGTCTTTGAAAGACTTAAGCACATAAGAGTGGTTTTTGAGAAAGCTTTCATCAAGAGAGAAGAGAGAAGAAAAGTATTTGTTTTGCTGCAAATTTTTATTCCGACCAACCAACTTCAAATCACGTTTTTCGATTCGTTTATCGTTGGATCTGGCTGAAATTTTGACTGAGTGTTCGTAACATCTTGGTCTTCGATTTGAACGGTGAAGATCGGATTTGGAGGCTCGTAGCATCTGATTTCGAGCCTCGAACAGCAGCTTCATTTTTTTGAATTATACTCTTTCTTCAATTGATTAGTTGTTGCTCTTGTTGCTATTGTTGCTCCGTGTTTGGCCCTTGTTGTGTAGCCAATTTGGAGAACTTTTGTAACCCTCTTATTGTTATAGTGGAGCTTTTTGGATCTTTGTGATCCCGTGGCTTTTACCTTCGATTTGAAGGGTTTTCTACGTTAAAATTTGGTGTTCTTTATCTTCTTTATTTTCGGGTTTGCCTCTTGCTCGACATAACAGAAACTTTGTCCATCATAGAAGAAATTCACTCCTTCTCTGTTCAAGGATTTCACATCTCCCCTCCATGCCTTTGATCCTGCTCCACTCGTTAAAAATTGGATGGGGCCGCAATTAAACCAAAAATGGATTAGAATAAAAGAAAATTAAATAGCTTCACCTTTCGCTATCACTGATGTGCTCAAGGCAATGGTCGTGCCCATTCATGTAGAGATCTACATCATATGCCTGGAATTTCATAACCCAATAGAAAAAATGTTAAATTCTATTGAAAATCTTCCTAAATTAATGAATCAATTATGGGATGTAAATTGCCAAATTCCCTAATCTTGGACAAATAATAATAATAATAAGTTACCCTAATGATAGGAAGAAGACGGTCCACAAGTTCATTAGAATCACCATGATGTCCTACACTTCTAATGGCACGATGTCCCACTACTATTTTCCATTTTGCTCTTGATTCACTTAATGCATTCTCAAGATCCTGTAAAACAAAATAATTGTTAAAATATCATAAAATTATCTCCCTAAAATCTGATTTTTTTTAGTCATGTCAACTTACTTTTAATACGCTTTCTGTATGTCTTTTGAGGCATCACATTGCGCCAATCATATGTATGTTCTTTTTCCACAAAATACTCTTTCACGAATGAAGTTGTATCCACCAAAAATATCACGAACAGGATGGGGAACAGATTCAGGGGAATAAAGGAAATGCAGATGTCATTCTCGTTCTTAGGGAAACTTGAATTATAAGTTTGTCATCATCAAAAAGAGGGAAATTGATAGGTTATATGTGTATCCCTGCTATGTTTTGATGATTTAACAAACTTATTGTTAAGAACCAGATAAGAAGCCTCATATACATTCTCAAGAACTTAAGATCAACAAGTCTCCAGATGGTGACACGGTTCAACTCTTCAGAGTCAAAGGAACAGAAGAGGGAACAGATAGCTACCAGTTCCCGTGATGACTGTACAAGTCAACCCACCCAGCTGTAAAGTTGCTGCCTGTACACGCAACAATGCAAAAGTAGTGCAACAGTCAACTTTATGAAAAATGCACTTTACCTAACTTGCTTGCATCATTCAAGTGATGTCACAAATGAATTATTAACATCAAGCAAAGGTAAAACAAAACACTTGCACATTCAAGATTTGATCAAGTATTCTCTCAAGTCATCATCAATCTTGCAAGTGACTCTCAAGGAGTCAAGGGCATCAAGAACAAAGAACAACATAACAACGGACAAGTTCCTTGCATCGAGTTATTACATGTCCTTAGTTGTGTTGTACCTTTGATTAAAGTACTATACTTGTAATTCCTACTTAGCTTAGTTAGAAGCATTGTGTTGGAAATGTTTGTAAATCATAAACCCTTGTGTTTGTGTCTTGGCTAGAGTTAGTCGAGTTGTAAGTCTTTGTAATAGAGTTATTACAAAGTGACTTGTAATAGAGTTGCTACAAGTTAGTGAGGGATTAAGAGGGTAATTCCTAGGTTACAATAGGTAGTAATCTAAAGTTTGCTCAGTAGTGAAGTTGAAATCCTACAAGGGTAGGTCATGATTTTTGATCCTGTAAGCTGGGAGTTTTCCACGTAAAACTCCATTGTATCATTTACTTACTGCAGTGTGCGTGTGTTCTGTGGGAAGTAATAGAGAACATATTTCTCTATATAGTTTGGTGGACCCGTAGTTTCTATCACTACTGTTTTTAGGTATCCATGTAGTAGTGGAATTATTTCAACATAGGTAGATTTTCTTTTCTTGCAAGTTAATTTGCTAAAAATTTATTTTAATAATAACTCTATGTCTCTAACAGACCAACAGTTCCGGGGCTTTTGCATCTATATCCGATTTTGGGGTCATAATTGAACCTATACCCACTTTGCAAAAAAGTTTGCAAGCGTACCCGCTTTACAATCAACTTCAGACTTATGGGTCTGAAGTTATAAAAAAAATGCTTGAAGTGAAAAAATTACACTTCAAATGCACTTAAGGCCAAAAAGGTCAGAAGTGCAACCAATGATTTCATGCACTTAAGGCTAATAAGTTTGAAGTGAAAAACTGCACTTCAGATGCACTTAAGATCAATAAGTTTGAAGTGAAAAATTGCACTTCAGATGCACTTAAGGCCAAAAAGTCTGAAGTGCAACAAACATTTTCATTCACTTAAGACCAATAAGTCTGAAGTGAAAATTTGCATTTTAGATGCACTTAGGGCCAAACTGGTTTGAAGTATGACCAATAGTTTCATGCACTTAATGCCAATAAGTCTAAAGTGAAAAATTGTACTTCAGATGCACTTAAGGCCAAAAGGTCTGAAGTGCAACAAACGTTTTGCTACACTTAAGGTCAATAAGTTTGAAGTGCAAAATTGCACTCAGATGCACTTAAGGCCAAAAAGTCTGAAGTGCAACAAACGTTTTCATTCACTTAAGGCCAATAAGTATGAAGTAAAAATTGCCCAGAAATGAAAATTTGTTCTTCGAATTATAACAATCCAATATACGATTTAATACCTAAATCTACTCCAAATGAGCTCAAATTTGAAACATAGCCTCCAAATATCATAAGGAACAAACCCCAATCTTCAAATTGTCAAAACAACAATAAATCTAATGAACCCATTTTGCAATTAAGAAAAATAAGAAGAAGAAACCCTAAGCAATAGTAAAAAATAAAACGTCATAACAACTCACCATTGTAAAACATCATAAACTACATTAAAATATATTCACAACCACCATATAAAATCATTGTCACCTGAAGAAGAAGAAGAAGAAGAAGAAGAAGAAGAAGGAGAAGAAGAAAATGAAGGAGGAGGAGAAAGAGACCTGAAGTTGTTTAAAAAATGGGTACAGATTAAAACTTATTAGAAAATGGGTATAGTTAAACGGGGGTGACCAAATAGGACGCCCCGTGCAATTTTTACGACTGTTTCGATTTCAGTAGCTCCACATCCAAAAGTAATCATTGGGCTTAAGGAACACCAAGTGGAAAAAAGAGGCCGAGGGTCCTATTGTGGAATAAGATCGCAAGCACCCTCTAGTCTAAAGCCCAAAGGAGTGGACACAACATATTACCCAAAACAACTTGTAGAGTTCAAAGCCTAAAGAAGTGCTTTACTCTTATGATGAAAGTTTAGAGATTAACATGCAGCAAATACTACTAGTTCAACAATATCTATCTTCTCTAGAAGTGAAAGACAATGGCATTCAAATTTTAATTTTTGAAAACTAAATTAAAATATTTTTCGAAACCTAAAAATACCACCTATTGTATGTTTTTACGTAAACAAATACTACCCAATTTTTTTTTTTTAATTAAGTTAATCTCAGAGCACCTTAATTCCAAAAATTTCTGCCAGAAGTAAACAAAGCCAATTTCTCATTTTGTTAGGTTCAATTACTGAACGATTTTAATTTATAGCGTAACTATCAGTTTTGGATAGCTTTTTTCTCCAATATCCCTAACAATCTAAAGGATCAAAATTTTCTTCGTAACACATTTTGTTCTTGAATTCCTGGTTGTTACATTGTAAATTAACAACTAGGTACAACAACAATTCTTGGGCTACAATAAACCCTAACATCAAGTAGACTGTCTTTATTCTAATTGACAAAATACCAAATGGCTCTTCGGCCTTGCCAATTTCTTCCACATCTATCTTCAACTATTTACAAGATTCTATTTTTATCATTCAATCTCGATCAATTATGAATGAATTCTCACTTCATCAACATATATAAAATAGATCAGCCGCACTTAAAACCCGAATACTCTATCGTAAACTACCCTTTGTGTTTCTGAATAAACAGAAAACGCAAAATCTAAATAGCTGTGTGAAGCAGTTGCTTAGACCTACTCCATTTATGTAGAACGTTGCCAAAAACATCATAGAACTCAATCTCTACGTGAGTTGGTGTCATTTGGACAGACATGAAACCTTGTCCATCATAGAAGAAATTCATTCCTTCTCTGTTCAAGGATTTCACATCTCCCCTCCATGCCTTTGATCCTGCTCCACTCGTTAAAAATTGGATGGGGCTGCAATTAAACCAAAAATGTATTAGAATAAAAGAAAATTAAATAGTAGTACTCCATAATTACAACAAAAAAAATGTACATTTTAATTATCTGAACTCTTAACTTTACCTTTCGCTATCACTGATGTGCTCAAGGCAATGGTCGTGGCCATTCATGTATATATCTACATCATATGCCTGGAATTTCATAACCCAATTAAAAAAAAAAAGTTAAATTCTAGTGAGAATTTCCTAAGTTAATGAATTAATTATGGGATGTAAATTGCCAAATTCTCTAATCTTGGGCAAATAATAATAATAATAAATTACCCTAAGGATAGGAAGAAGACGGTCCACAAGTTCATTAGTATCACCATGATGTCCTACACTTCTAATGGCATGATGTCCCACTACTATTTTCCATTTTGCTGTTGATTCACATAACGCATTCTCAAGATCCTGTAATACAAAATAATTCTTTAAAATATCATAAAATTATCTCCCTAAAATCTGAATTTTTTTAATCATGTCAACTTACTTTTAATACGTTGTCTGTATATGTCTTTTGAGGCATCACATTACGCCAATCGTAAGTATGTTCTGTTTCCACAAAATACTCTTTCACAAATGGAGTTGTATCCACCAAAAATATTTCAGCAATTTCTGCAAAAAGTAAAAGAAAGATTTAAAATATCAAAATTGCAACAAATAAAGTTCGACCAATAACAACATTTTTTTTAAAAAAAATAATGAAAAATGAGGGTGTTTTTCTTTTACCTGCATTGATCAAGAAAGATCTCAAACAAATCCATCTACTGTCAATTTTCCTAAGGTAAGGACTAAGTTGAGCTATTGCATCTCCCCTGTAATCATGGTTACCTAATACTGCAAATCAATAGTAATATTTCAGAATTACAAATCATAAAAAAAAACACAGCATTTTTATTAGTACGTAGTTTTTGTTTGTAAACTCACCTGAATACCATTGCTTTTGCAAGCTCTTTGCTGTATAAACATTGGTAAAAGACTCTAGAAAATTTGGATCATCTTCCCCTGTTAATCCATTATCATAAAAATTATCACCTGTTGAAACTACAAAATCTATGTCTAATTCCTCTCCAATTCTTCCCATCTGCATCCAAATTATACACATTATTAGTAATTATTAATCCAAAACACCAAAAAAGAATAGATAATCATATACAAGAAAAAGGGTACGAATATTTTCGAAAGAAATTTACCTGGAGAGCAACAGCAGATTGATTATAATCACCTTTACGTCCCCAGTCACCAATAACCAAGAATCTAACATTGCCATTACCTTTAGTTGGGTGATCAAATTTCTTAAGCCCAGTTGCATTAGAACAAGAAATCAAAAAACTAATAGCCACCAAAAGGAACAGAATCATAGATTTCTTACAAAAACTAGCCATATGGCTCTTATTTCAATTACAACACAAGATTAATAATTGTTCTATAGGCCAAGCTGAAAAATTCAAGAATAATGCATGAGAGAGCGACTGATATAGGATTTTGTGGGGTATTTAAAGATTAAACATATAGACAGTAAAAAACATGAGGCATACAATATAGGTCACGAGTTTTGAATTAAAGGAGATGGTTAATTATATTTGTGTTATTGGATATGCGAATATGCTGGTGGATATTTCTTATATTCTAAAGATAGGGATCATGTAGAGAATATTCCAAGGAACTGATTCAAAAGTTCCTATCCTATTGGATTAATGAATAGGCGAAATTGTTGTTTTTCGTGGGATTTGGCCATTGGGTTTAAGAAAATAACGGAATATGTGGACCCTTGATTTAGCGGCTAGTACTAGGTCAATTTTTTTTTGTTGTTGGTATTTTATCATTGATATTCCCTCCATTCCAATTTATGTGAACCTGTTTGACTGGTCGCAGAAGAAAAAATAATTTTTTTTTGAATTTATAGTCCTAAACAAGTCAAAAAGGAGTCCAGAGTATTTGTGTGGTTATAAAAGCTTCTCATTAGGGGTAGAATTGAAAGTTTAAGTTAAATTGTTTACAAATTTAGAAATGGGAGTAGTAATTTTATTACAACTTAAACACGATAAAACAGCAAATCACTTGGTCGGAAAGAAAGGAATATAGCAAAATAATCTTGTGTTGGCTGTTTAGGATTTAGAAATACCTTTTGACAATCAAACTTTTTTTTTATATTTATTACTCCGTTGTTTCTTAATTTATATGACAGTCATTTTATGTTTAGAATGTTTAAGAATATCTGACACCAAAAAAGTATACAACTTTCATCGATTTTTCAACTCAAATCCATATAATTGTGTAAATTTAGAACTTAATTGTGATTTTTTTTTGGTAACAACTGTCAGTTACAATTAGACCCAAAACCATTACAAATATTTTTTAAAACTAACTTTTTTAACTATCATGATCACTACTTTCTATATGAATATATGAAACGCCAATTCAATCAGACACCGCTATAAATTGAGGTTGACGAAGCATTTAGTATATATGCAACTGTTTCGCGAAAATGAAATTGGACGACTAGCAATTTAGTTGCACGTTGCCTGGTTATATACTATAATAAGCTCTTTTTAAAAGAATTAACCCAAATAGCCGTCCACCTAATATAGAATTCCAGGCAACGTGCATCTATACTATGGTCATGTTCTTGCTAACGCTTAAGAAATAATAGAGCCAATTTTGTCACTTATGGAAGGATCGCAATCAATAAATTAAATAGTAGTATATAATTTAGAAATTGTAGAAACGAAAATCATGCATGTAGTTTCTCGTCATGGCCATATAGTATCAAATGAGTGGATTCAAGATATTTTGGATCTATTAACATATGATAATTGAACTCCGAAATTCCAATTCAAACCAGAATGAGCGGAGTCAAGATGGTTCAGTGAGTAAACTATAATCTCATGGGCGGATCCACAAAGAGAATTATGGTGCTCAAGCACCCATTGCCATGGTATGAACATATGATTTTAATTTATAGGCACTTTCGCATAAAATGAATATATATTTAGGTGAGCACCCATTACACAAACAGACTAGTGGGTGCTACTGGTTAATGAAATTTAAGGATATGCTCTATGTGATCCGGAGTTCAATTCCTACGTGTTGCACTCTTTGTAATTGGAGTTCTTCTCTTCATATTTCTTATTCCTTTTTTCTTTTTCTTTTTCTTTTTCTTTTTCTTATTCGTTTGACTTTATTTTTCTTCTCTTTTTTACATGGCTTTTCCTTCTGTTCTTAACTTTGCCTTTTTTCCTTGCTTCAATTCATTAGTTCCTCGTGACACAAATAGAAAATATATTTAATTTACCACCATCAAATTTGACAGCCTATATTGTGCTTTGAAATCCTCACAATAATGATAATATTCAAGAAAATATAAATATTCATATTTTTCGTCATTCAATTTATTTTTTATCCGTATTAAATATGAGTAGTTCAGAAATTTTACCCGTGTTGTCTAGTGTTAGGTGTTTGTCCATATTTTCTTACCATAATTGATTTTCCTATCTCATGAAGGAAAGGACAACATATTTACCATAATTGAGTTTTTCTTTTTCTAGAAGGAAACTATAGTTCTTCCATATTTGGCTAGTCCATTTTCTTGTAGGAAAAGGTTTGGACTTCTATAAATTGAGGATCCTTCCTTCACATTCAGTAACATCCACAATGTAGCCATATGGGGTTTGAGAGTCGTGTTTAGGGGGAGAACTTTATGGGACAAGTGCTAGTGTGTCACTTGTGTTTGCCTCTTCGTGAAGTTGTTCTCTCGATATTTTGTACTCTCTTTTATTATAGTGGATTGCTCATCTCCGCCGTGGATGTAGGTCAATTGACCGAACCACGTTAAATATTTGTGTCTCATTTGGTATATTTCTCAGCTGTCTGACTTATCGTCGTTCAAGGTTTGCTTTGCTAGATTCCGCATGACACCTGATTTTTCTCCTAACAAGTGGTATCAGAGCCCAGGTTCAGTGGGACGAGGAGTGATGGTGCAGGGCGGTGTTGATACCCAATTTTTCCCTATATATTTTAAATATGCAAAATACTAGGGGTGTGCATTCGATTTATCGATTCGATTTTGACCCTTATCGATTATCGATTTGTACATATGCTTATTGTTATCGTTTCAATAAGGTTTCGATTTTTTCGATTTCGATTTATCGATTTTGGGGGCTTATCGATTCGGTTATCGATTACACCAATAAGAAAATTTGCGGGATTCCACGGAAAGTATATCGCTATAAACGCGCATAACTAATATGGACAAAAAGAAGCTAAAATAAGACGAACACCATTTATAATATAAAAATTGTGTCAACAAGCACATGCAACAAAACTAAAGTAAGGGATCAAATGTATGTCACCAACACTCCAACGGTATAAAAAAAACAAAACAAAACACATCATCACGGCTAATTCTGTTTTCCATTAATTTGAACTTCATTCCCTTGATCTTTAAATATGATCATTCCTTAAATGTGGTAGAGGAAATAACAGGGTAAGGGACTTAGGGTAAAGGAAAGGGTATAGATTAGGGAAAATAATATTGTATAGCCGCTTTCAAAATAGTAGCGGAATATATATACATTATGTGTGTTATATTAATCTACACAAATAGGTAATTACTCATTTAACAAGTGTCTACAGTCTAGGGGTGTGCATTCGATTTATCGATTCGATTTTGACCCTTATCGATAATTACTTATCGATTATCGATTTGTACATATGCTTATCGTTATCGTTTCAATAAGGTTTCGATTTTTTCGATTTCGATTTCGATAACAAATAATCGATTCGATTTATCGATAAACCGATTCGAATGCACACCCCTACAAAATACCTTCAAAATAGCATATATATGCATATATAAGCATGCCCAAGGTTTTTATTATTTTTCCCATAATTTTAAGGGTTTAAATTGATTTATTTTCTCCCTTTTTATCCATAAAATCCCCAATAATTATTTTCAAAATTATTGTTTTGATAATTCATCTACTGGATTTCTATATTTATGCCAAAATATAGCTAAGGTAATTTTTATGTATTTTTATAATTACATTTAGTATTTTTTTAAAGCTAAATTGCACATAATTGCAATATTAGTCCTTTTAAGATAATTATGTTCTATATGCATAAAATTGGACCCTGTATTTTTAAAATTGTTAATTATGTATTTTAAATCATTTTGGCACCCTAAGTTATTTTTCAGAAATTACCCATTATTTTTTTATAAATTAAACGGGGGAAAATTGGCTATTTAAAAAACAGCCAAATTTGGTAATCAATTATAGCCAAAATTGGACCCCTTTCCAGCCCAATTTCATACCCAAATCACCCGACCCATATCCTATTAACCCTTATCCAAACCCGAAACCCACCTACCCTTTTAAATCTCGACGGTTGATCTCCCAAATCAACGGTCCAAACGCACCCTTTCCTTTTTTAATTTCACCCGACCCCTAACCCTAGTCTCATAATTCAGAGACAGCCGCCCTCAAACTTTCTCATCTCCTCTCTTCTCTCTCAACCTAACCCTAATCGTCTTCAACCGCCGCCTCATTCTCCTGCCTTCTCCGGTGACCAACCCTCAACTCCTAAGCCTTAAATAGGTCTCCCATCGCCTTGCTCATCATCTCTAAGAACTTCAAGGGTCCTTGGCCATGCCAATTTGGACCTAGGGTTTCTGCTTCCGTGTTCGAGGCTTCTCTGGTGTGATCTTGAGCAAAATCACACCATATGTGTTACGTTTTGTGAAGTTTCAACAGGTTCTTTCGATTTTATTTGGATTTCCTTTGTGAAACCCTAACTCTCGTCTGAATCTTTCAAGAGTTGTGCTATTTTTTTATGCTTTAGGCCTGTTCCCTTCTACGATTTGCTCATTCGCGAGCTTCTTCTGAAAGATCCTTTACTTTGAACCGTTTTACTCTTTCTGAAAACTAGGGTTTCTCGGAGTTCTTTTACGCATGTTCTAACTGATTTCTTTATGATTAAACCTTTTCCTTGTTTGTTTTGACCGATTTTGTGCTCTTACTGCTTTTAACTTGACTCTGTTAAAAGCCCTATTTTTTTTAAAGATTTTCTTTACTTTGTTTCTACGAATGTTAGCATGATTTTCCTTACTTTGCTTCTATGAGTGTTAGCATGCTTTCTTTACTTTGTTTCTGTATGTTAGCCTGCTTACTTGAGTCCTGTGATTACCCTGCTTCGAATATGTTTTCCTGAATCCCTAGCCTACTTATGTCGCTTCTGTGTAACTATGCTCACTTTGTTTGTTCATCTCTTGCTTCTTTCTGTGACTATGCTTCGAATATGTATTCTTGCTACGTCTGTGGACCTGCTCTATTTATATGATTGAAAGTGCAGAGTCATGACTCCTTTTTGATTGATTCTGGTTTCCTTAATTGATGGTGATTGAAAATTTTCTTTCAAAACCCTAAAAGCTTTGCCCCGTCTGTTAAGCTGACTGATTTCCTTACCATATTTGCTATGATACTTATTTCTACTAAGTTGTGTCCTTAATCAAGGCTTTATGAATTTGGTCCTGATCGACTACTCTATGCTACTGAATCTC